TTCTTGAAGAGAACTACAATTTTTTTAAATCACAGTTAGTTATTAAAAAAAAAAAAAAAAATCAGTAAATCACTTATGTCAAAAAGTTCTATTTATTTTACTATTTTAAGTGAAAATATTTTTGTTTGATGATTTTAACATTAAATTATATAATACAATATAAATTATATAATTCCATAATAATAATGGAAAAAAATGTAAAATTATATATTGTTAAACTGATTATTATATTAATATTATGAGATATTTTGATTCATGTGAATTTTGGAAACAAAACTGTCTATATAACATTATATATTTTATTTTTCAATATTGTAATTTAATATTTTTTTCATTATTTATTTATTTATTTTTATTTTTTTCCTTTTTTTATAACATACTCAATATTTGATTAACATACTCAATACTTGATTAACATAATCAATACTTGATTAACATAATCAATACTTGATCAATTCTAATAATTATGACAATAACACAAAGAGAAAATTTTTAGAATTTTAATAAACATTAATAAATATCAATTTCTTGGAAAAAAATAAAAAATTGTTAAAAAATTGATTCAGTAAATGATAAAAAGTACCTGGAAACCAGCGCTAACAAGAGCTCCAGTTGGTGCAGCTGGCGCTCTGACGATTTGTACATCAGCCTCCTTGCAATCCTTCGCGCTGGATACACTTTGCTTTCTGTTTCCGGTGTTATGCATGCCGTTCTCGAGATAGTTGAGCAGCTTGTGTTCTTCTGTCGAAAACGTACTTAACCCGGACTTGTAATTCTGCGGAGATTGGGGCGCCGATCGATATTTGGCACGAGGGATCATCACTGTCAACGAACGATCTCTTTGTTCATCGTTCACTGGCACTATAGCGATTTAAACAATTAAACAATACGATAAAAATGTTTTAATATTATACAAGCAAACCTAGAAATGAAATTTCATAATTAAACGAAATAAGACTAAAATATCTTTATTAAAACAAATATATCTATTAATAAATAAGATTCTATTAATTTGGATAATCAATAAAAAAAGTTTACAAATATAAATAAATAAAAATGATGCTTATTCATAACAATTAAGAAACATTATTTGTTATTATAATGTAATTTAAGATTTTTAATTTCTAATCAAAATTTTTTAATTTTTTTTGTATATTAATTTATAATTCTTTACTTTCTTGTAATAAATAATTTCTTTATTTATTAAAACTTTTTAATATAAGAAAATTTATAAATTTTTTTTTCCTATTAATTCCTCATTTTTGTAATAAATAATTTCATTTTTTTCTTTAATAAAAAATAATTAAAAAATAAATTTCGAAAAATATTTACCTGATGCAGGTACCATGGTAGCCTTTCTCGGCAGATGTCTAGGTTTCGTGCTGATCTTTCGAGCAGGTCTTTTGGTCGGTGGCAAGGGTGCAATCATCTGTGGGGGTGGTGGCAGAACATGCGGCACGTGGTGTGGAATTGCTAGATCCGTCACGCTACCCTCGCTACTGGTATCCCCGCCTGTTCCAGGAATCATGGCCCTTCTGTCGCCAGTTCTTCGTCTCTGACTTGGTTGACGAAAACACGCCATGCCGACGCATACCGCCAAAAGGCCTAGTAATATTGCACCGGTCGTAACCAGAGCTATCAATAACACTGCAAACAGATTTATGGTATAATATCATATTGCAGTACTTTTTAAAATATGAAATAAAATTTTCTTATTACTTTTTATTTTAATATTTTAAAGAAAAAAAATAGATGGTAGATTTCGTTGTTATATATATACAATGTATTTATGAAATATATCTTTTTATTTTTTATATTTTTAATATTTTGAATTAAAGATAAAAATGTATTAATATTTGTGTCTACGAAGTTTTATAATTAAATTAATATACATACATTTATTAATTAATAATATACGTTTTTCTAAATACACTGAATATGAAATATTCGTTTTAAGATAAATATTATAAAAAAAAATATTCTTCTAAAAATTGTTTGATATAAGAATTATACAATATTAAAAAATTTTCTATAAATAAATGCATAGAAATGGATAAAACATATGAAAGTAATATTTGTTTTTTAAATAAAAATCATATAATTTTTTATCAATTCATTATTATTTAAAAAAATTAATTACGTTATTTATATTGAAAATATTACAATATTAAACATTTTCTAAACTATTGATTTTTCTATATAAATGATTTAATATTTTTAATTTTTTTTAGAATTAGATTTCATAAGAAATAACGAACTGCGAACGAATTATGGAAAAAAGTAAAGAAAAAGGCTTTATTAAAGAAAGTAAAAATTTCATATGATTTTTATATATCTATTCAGAAAAATTAATTATATTAAATAAATTTTTTAAGAACATTTTTTCATAACATTCATTTCAAAATAAAACAGATATTTTATAATTCAATTTTATTCTCAATAATTGAAAAAATCCATTTTAAAATTTTGCAAAAATATATGGTATATCAATTTTTTCAACTCGTTTTAACAATTTTATAAATAGCTATTATTATTCTAAAATATAAAAATTTTTACTTATGTCATAATTTTATCATTTAAATGATAATAATAATAATATATTGATGAACAGAGATTAATTTCATAATTCAAAATTTGATAAGCTACTGTTTATTGATTCATTTGATAAATAAGTTTTAGGAAATTTATTAATTTAAGAATTATTATATGTATATGTTTCATAAGAATAGTTGTATTTTTATCTTCTTTAATTCATATAATATAATTGATTGAAAAAAAATGATGATCTATATTCTATTGTTATCATTGCTTAATTTTTATTAATTTTAATAAGAATAGAATATTTTATGAAATTCATATGCTCGTAAAATATATCATATATTTAAAAAAAATTTTAAATTAAAAATCGATATAACTTTTTCAGTAATTCAGGAGTAATTTAGCAATTACAGTTTTTTTTATTTTGAATAATGTGCAAATTTAACTATTTATTTTCTATATTGAGACATTGCAAGAAATAAATTAAGAAACGAATAAAATACAAATATATAAATTCAATTACATAAATAACAATTTTGTTAGCTTTTGTAAGATTAGTTACTATTGTAAGATTTGCAAAGATAAATTTACCTTTGAGATTAACCTGACATCGCTGACCACTATGCCAAGGGAAGCACTCGCAGACTTCTTGACCATTAGTATTCATCACGCAATGCCCTTTGTTGTTACAACTAGGACAACCTAATGGCGCCTGAGAGCAAAATCTTCCAGGATATGCAGGATTCTCAGACAAATCTGCCCAACCTTCTTTGCAAGAACATTGATAAGAACCTCGTAGATTGAAACAGGCTGCATTTGGCGAACAATCATGATGAGGTCCTCCATTTTCCGCTATGCATTCATTAAAATCGATTGCTTCAATCTGAAATAAAAAATTTTTATCTATTAATGATTTGAATCTACAATTTTTTTATTTTCATTTTAATATCTAATTATAAAATGTTTTGTATGGTAAGTAGAATATAAATATTTATGCATTGAAATTTTTATAAATATATATCAAATTTATATTTAAATAGAGATGAATTTTATTTCTTATAGATAATATGTATTTTATTTTCAATATTTTACATAATTAAATTTTTTATAAATGCATAAATATTCACAATATAAAAATGCAAAAACTTTCGAAGATCGTTTACAAAGAATTTAAATCTTTTTGTTGATTTATTCTCTCTCTTTTTTTTGTTTGAAAAAAGATACTTACTATGTCAAGATTTTTCGAAGCAAAGACTTCAGTGCCTCCTAAACTATAGTTACTTCCAATCAGATATTTTCGAAGTACTTCCTTCAATCTCGTTTCATTAGCATTATCACTGAGTTGAACGTGGAATTCTACTTTCGTTGGATCAGGTGTGAAACCAGCTATCTTCAATCCCCTATAGATGTCTCTAAGATCACTCTGCATTAGAGTCCTGTCTAAAGCGTCTTTAGTAGGGCCTAGTAATTTTCTAAAAGCTGTTGACGTCGAATCATTCATGCTGACTTCGTAAATCACTGGCTCGTGTCCGATTCGATCCAATCCAACTCGTAATGTGTAGGTATAAGTGGCTATAATCATAGATTAAAAAGGAAAATTAAATTTGAAGAAATTTAGAAATTGATAGTAGATTAAAGTCAAATAAGTATAAGAAAAAACGAAACCGTATCCATTCGTATTCTTCATTTGTTCTGTCATCAAATTTTGTTGATCAAATCATCAGATCAAATCAGGTAATAAATTGACAATGAAATGTCAAAAATGTTTTATTTCTATCATGAAAATCTAAACAATGCAATGCATTCTGTCGCCAATTTATATTCAATTATATGAATAGAAATAAAATAAAACGTTTCTGACACGAATTTGTCTTTAAAGTGATCTGTTATATTTCTGCAATCAGTCTGTTAAAAAATTCTGTTATAATCATGTATCAAATCTGTTGCCTTTCTGGTAATAAAATTTGGTGTCAATATTTCGAAATGTATTCTAACAATGGATTTTCTTATTAATTTCGTATATTTCTTCTTTGTAAATTCAATGATTCTCTAATACTCTCTCATAATATATATATAAAATGTAAATCTCCCACTAATATGTGAATCGTAACTTAATCAACTTAAAATAAATTAACTTGAATAATAATTTGAATTTACGTTTACAAGGTCGATCAGGGAACATTCTCGCAAAACCTGGTCGACAAATGCATCTCATTTCAGTTCCAACTTCCGCACATATTTCAGCCCTAGAGGCTCTACATTCAGGAGTACATTGATTGACGATAGGTTGAAGAGATACTACTGGTGCTCCAAGAATTCCACCAGCTAGAACTCTATGAACTTCGTTTCCAGCTGGATCTTGTTCATCTCTTGAAATATCACCATATTCAGTTTCCACCTAAGAAAATATTCATATTAAATAAAAAAATTATTATTATTTTCTATAAATAATCTATAATAAGTAGATCATTGTGTTTATGTATTTATACGAAATTTAAAATTTTAAGCAAAAATAAAAAAAATAATACAGAAATAATATATTTATAATACAGAAATAATATATTTATAAAAATGTAAGATACTTTAGAAGTATCAATTCTAAATATTGAAACAAAAAAAAATTGATATAAAAAAAAATATTATAAGCAATTTTGCAATAGGAAATAAAAACTTAGAAACACAAAATTTAAGATGGTCATATATTCATATTATTTAAAAATTCACAAAACTTAATGTAATGTAATATGTAATTAATTTAATTAATATGTATTAATTAATTAAACATAAATATATTATTTATATATTAAATATTGCATATTAGAAATTTTAATACAATATAATAATTTATTATATGCTGATATGAATTTGTACATTATATTTCAATTGTTTATTGAAAAATTCAATAAAATACCAAAATTAAAGTTTCAATGATATTTTTGCATTAATTTTTATATTTTTTTCAGAAATTATTAGAATTTCTCATATAAGTCTTTTATAAAAATTCTATAAATAATATACATTATTATATACATTATAATATATGCTTTTTTAATTTTTAAATTATATATAAATATATAATTATAAATTAATTTCTGCGATTTAGGAAAATATAATACTAAGATTAAAAGAATATTTATATAGAATATTTATATATAATATTTATATAAATATAATTTATTTCTTACATTTACCTCTTCAGCACCAGGTGCCGGTGGTTTCTGGTCGCTCATCACTACAAAGATGGAATCATTATCGACAACGTTTTCGTAGGATGATGGTATTCTAGTCACCACCGATTGCAAAATCGTTGATGTAACTGTAGAAACGACGCTAGTTGGACGTAATAACGTTTCTGTCACCGTTTCCACTGTGGTTGATGTCAACGTGTGGGTAAGTAGTAATGTTCGAGTTGTAGGTGGTGAACCCAATACAGATGTTTCCGTTCTCGTTACCGTTGATGTCTGGAATCGTGTTACCTGTATGATAAAGGATTGTAACAATGATTGAACCGTAATTTTTTTATAATTCATTTTTTTCCCTACAAAAATTTGTTTTTTAATTTCGTCAAACTAATTTTTAAATTTTTTAAGAAAAATCTATTACTTAACATTATATTTTCTTTTTTACTACTATTTAGATTTATTACAGTATATTATTTATTTATAATATATTTATAACCTATAATTATTACTACTATAGATTTTTGAATACTATAATATTTATATTTACTATAATTCAATTTTCAAATAATTAGTAAAACATTTATTAACAGCTTCACTTAGATTAAATTTATAATTCTAGATCTATATTTTTTATTGAAGAATATTGTTATTCTATCAAGAGAATTAATTTATTTAAAAATTATATGGAAATTAAAAAAAATATTTGATTTCTGAACATCAATTTTAACAACGAATATCGAAATGATTTTAAAATATCTAATAATTTTATCTTAACTTCTATTCGAATTAATATATCTCTCACCTCTTTAGGCTTCATACGCATAGTCGTTGTTGTTTCATTAGCAACTTTTCGTATATTGCTGACACTCTTTGTCATGTTGATCATCGATTCGTTTCTTCTGTTGATGTTTTCGAACAACGTGTTCGTCACTTTTGTTATCGAGCTGTCGACCCTGGTGACCACACTTGGCAATTTTTTCAAAACTGTCTCGTTCTTTCGTTTAATTTCCGTCACTGGTGAAACGATTACCTTCGAAACTTCGTTCTTCGTCATAGTGGATTGCGACTCTTTTTTCTGACTCGTGCTTATCACATGAATCAAACTCTCCGTAGCTTCCACCTTCGATGATGGTAAAACGATATCGTAACTAGACTCCAAAAATACTGGATGTTCTACTCGTTTCACTGGATTTCGTGGAATATCGATATTGTGAGATCGAGTTGGTTCCACCTCTCTAGTAGAAGACGATTTGTTTGGTTGAATGTGATCCATTTGGACTGGTCTTAGCTTCGTTGGGATTACTAAATTCGTGGTTAACATCGCTGTTGGTTGCACTGATATTCTACAAGGTTTCATCATATATCACAATAATATATATTGAAAATTCAAAATTGACGATATATTAGTTGAAAAAATATTTTTGAATACCTAGATACAGGTCTGGTGTTGAATGGTCGCACTGTGTATATGCTAACATGCTCCGTCTTTCTAGTTTCAATTGGTCTAAGTATTTCAGGCACGTCTATGACTACTGGAAGATCAACAGTGCCGTGTATGATAGGTATCTTCGATTCGATATCTTGGACCACTGGTATGTGAGATGTTGCGACAGCTGTCGCGATTTGAATCGATCCAGATACCGCTACCGCTGGTCTCACGGTGGCTATTTCGAGTGGTCTCGTTGTCTGAGTTACTGGTGGTGGAGGTATCATGTCCTGAAAAGTATAAAACTTATAATAAATCGTTTAAAATGCTTAAGATACCGATTCTGTTCAAATTTGTATCATTTTAATTGTCATATGTAAATCATTAAATCTAAATTTCAAATTTCAAAAAAATGTCAGAGTACAAACTAGATTTTTATACAAAAACATATTTTGATATTATTATTATTATTTTACACATATTACAATTAGTCAAAATAATATGCATATATGTTAAATATTTCAATTAGACTTTCATATTTCATTTGTATTTGATTAAGATATTATATATCGTAACATTTTCAATAAACTCAAATTGTTCAAAATGTAACATTAAAATACATTTATAAATATTATTACAATCGGTTTACTCTTAATAGATTCCATAGAAATATTCATATAAATTGTATTATTATTATTATTTACAAAATATTTCTAATAATTATGTAAAAAAAAAAAAAATAAATAAATTCTAAAAAAAATATATCTAAATTATATGTATATAATCGCAAATGTAAATGGTAATACGGAAAAATCAGATCATGTCTTTAATACTTCTACATCTTATGATATCAGAACGGTCATTTTCAGTATAAATTAATATTAACTAACAAATGTAAATATTTAAATAAATATTTCAATATGAAGAAATTATTTATGATTTATTGTAATGTCAATTATTAATTAAAACAAAATTATTAAATACCCAATATAAATAATGTTATATGTAATATATCTATTTGTGTATATACATATACGCATATTTTTTACGCATATTCGCATATTTTATAAGCATAAATTTCGTATGCTATAACATATATAATAGTTTTTAATAAAGCTAGCTGAAATGCCCAACTTTTAATAAAATTTCAAAAAATTTTCAAAATTTTGTTTAATCTAGCAAATTAATATAATAAATTTACCTGAGACAACAATTCCACGATGAAAGGCCTAGTAAGAGATGGTCTTGGGCTAGGAGGAACCATGCTAATACTGGGCAAAGGTGCAACAGAAGATTCCTTCAGAGGAATATATTTAGGAGGAGGCTTCAACCCAGATTCATTAGCAATAACGAATGAGAACTTATCTTCCGTAGGATTATTTGTTGTAGTAATATCAACCGGTGGAGGTGACAAACCGACAACATCTCTCGAAGGTATGGGTGGTGGTTTTAAATCTTCCTCTTCGTTTTTATTTGATTGATTGAGGCCAATCACAGGTCTTAATGGTGGGGGCATCATGTCTCTAGAAGGTACGTTCATTTCTTCCATATTAGTCAATATGTCTCCAGTGGACATTTCAATAGGCCTTATTCGAATCTTGTTTTCATGATTTATGGAATCATCTTTGTTTGCATCTTGGGTTGCAAAATTCGTGTGATAGGAAGTATCTATCTTCTCTATATTCTTTTTTTTGTCACTCGAATTATTCGTTGTGATCAGCATGCTTGGCGGTCGTTCAGTTTGCGTTTTACTATCCACTTCTTCGCCAATTGCCTCCACAGGCAGGGAGAATCTAATGTTTGGTCGAGTGTCAGATTTGTTATTAGCTGTTGAAATAGTGATTGGGTTAGGTACTTGAGGTTTAGGTTTGGTAACTATATGAGGATACTCTGGATGAATTTTAGTTGCTGAACTATAATCCTGTTGAATTATCACAGCATGATTCTTTTCTAATTTGACAGGATTAATGTTCGTCTGAGAATACTGACTTTCCATTTGATAAGAAATGGAGTTGTTTCTATAATGATTCTTCATAATTTCGCTTCTGTTGACCAAAATCTCTTCTCTTTTATCACCTGTTTTCATTTCATTCTCCCAATTAAAATCCATAAAACCACCTAATTGAAAGTAGCTCTGATTTAATTTTCCTGAATAGCTCAAACTGTTATTCCCAAATTGTTGTTCTGAGGTATCTGGTTTACTTTCATTAGGCCGATTCACATAATCTGGTCTAACTTCTGAGGTTTGACTGATGATCTCTGGTCTGGAATACAACACAGGTCTGGTTTCCACTTTATTTATAATAGGTCGTGGATATGATTTGTTAGGTTTGTCCAATTCGGGAACGAATTGCGGAATGATTGCTGGTGGCTTTAGATCTATAGTATCCTCATGTTCACGATTAGATGGAGTAGACGTTTGTTCATTCTTGTAGTTGATTTGCAGCATTTTATTTCCATAGTATGTCGATGGTACACCCTGAACTATATCGTATTCAGATGTTTCTTTCCATTTGTAATCATAATTTGACTCTTCGTGTCCAGTATACACACTAAATGGTTTTCCTTGAACTATTGGCATTTCATGAAGTTTGGCATTATAGTAATTAGGTCTATACTGTGTTTGAATCGATACGCCTTCGTTTTTATGCGCAAATGGAACTCCTGAATTAATCCAAATAGGTTTTTCCTTTTGATTTTGCTGAGAATCAATTTCACCAACTTTTCCTATCATCGTATTATCAGAGGCTACATAAGAATTCTTGTTTGATGATGTATCGTTACTGTGATCGTTAATCAAAGACGTATCATCTTTCGTTTTATCGTATTTTTCAATTTTTTTCACCTGATTATGATATTTGACCGGTTCAGAGGCACCACTTTCTGAATCCAATGTCTTCTCCGTACCACTGTACCAGGTTTCTTGGTTCTCAGACTTGACATCCTGATTAGGTGAAGCCTGATTGAAATTCTGCGTTTGAATGCTTGATATAACTGATCCATCATTTTGCTTTATCTTGAGATTCAAAGGATTGTGATACTCAATCGCTCCAGTGGGCACGTATTCCTCTGTTCTTTCGGTTTGTGGCTTCATCTGCTCTATGCTCGTTGGTCTCTTTTCAGGATAGAAGTGGGATGGCCTATTTTGAAGATCTGTCTGCTAAAGAAAAATAGAAAAATTAGAAATGAGAATACAAATAAAATTAAAATATAAAAATTAAAGAAATATAAATTTATATAAAAGTTTCATTTTACCTGAGGACGAGCCCCAAACGAAGGTTGCCTCTCAGTCACCACATCCCTTATCAATTCTCCAGGTATGGAAGTTGTCATTCTAGATGGTTCATGATGAATTTGAGAATTGGTGATAGGACGATGAGGAAGCACAAATGTGTTCGCGTTCTGTGCCTTCGTCGGAAGCCTCTGAGGTCCGCTATAAACTGGTTTCCTGCTGCCAGGCCTTTCCGGGTAAATCGGTCTATCCAGAGGAGGACGACTGGTTGTCGATCTCAACGGTAGACGTGGTCTCAACCTATTATTCATCAGAATTCTCGGTGGTTTCTTGTCCGACTTCCAATTGGAATTCAAGATGATTTCGTTTCCTGAGTCTGGCTTAGCCAACAAAATGTATCGATGTGAATTGTCTGATGGATTTGATATTTCCGTTCTTCGAGGCGGCGTTCCGAGCTCTACAGGTTTTGGAATTTTTGAATATTGTCCTCGTAGCGGTAAATGATTGTTTGAATGTACGTGAGGATGGATAGCAGGATGAGGAATGTTTTGAGGTCGAACGTTCACGGTTTCCGGTCTGTGATGAACCAGAATTTCTGTGTGCACGTGACCTTGGCCACCAAGGATACCCGAGTTGTCGGGATGTTTGATCAAATGCACGTCGGATGGCTTCTTTTCTGGCCTGATCAAGGATACTTCTAATTTATCTTGCGGTCTCTCATAATCGAAATGAGCTGGTGATAAAGAAATGGTTGCTGGACGATTGGAAGGATGTTTCTCGGATAAAGTCTTGAAGTTGAGTGGTGGCGATGGTGGTACCATATAATCTGCTGGATCCTTTCCATTAGTATATTGGGATAGATCTTCTACCTATAAGAATGTTTGGAATTTTATATTTTCATTCAAATTGTAAATTATTATATTTTATTTGTAAAAGTATATCTATATCTATATATTTCTAAAAATTAAAATACATTGATATTAAAAATTCACAATAAAATTTTCCATTTATTATTAAAAAGTTTTTTTTATTTTATTGATAATGATATAACATATAAACGATAATATTGATATAATTTTTATTGATTTTTTAATTATAAAGAAATTATGCATTATTCTATATAAATATTTAGAATATTAATATATTTGATTAATTTAAAAATCGAAACAAATAATGTAAATATGTAAATATTCGTCGAATTATTTAATATAAATAATTAAAATTTACATTAATGAAACGAGAAGGAAAGATCATTTTGTCTCTATCGGACTCTGTTTTCATATTGCTCTCATTTAACGTGAATTTGTTTGAATTAATGTGAAGTTAATACGAAATGTAATTTATATAATTTATAAGTATAATAGAAGTGTAATTTAATACATAAGTCTTAACCGACATTCTTGTATATTTTTTATATTTGTTTTAGTTTCTAGAATTCAGTTTTAGTTTCAGAATTCTCTAAAGATATTCTACGAATATAATAACATCTATATGATAATATTGATATAATTTCTATTAATTTTTTTATTATAAAAAAATTGAGAATTACTATTTCTACATAAATATAAATTTTACAATGTAATAATAATATTATCGTTCATTTTTTGTATAAACATTTATAATTATCCTATTCTTAATGCAATAAAATCATTTTTAATTTGAATGACAAGAATTTTTTTAAGTTCAGATATATATATTACACGAAATTTAAGTCATATGTTTAATTTGTTTAAAAAATTTTTGAATTTTTGAAAATTATATGTCCACTTACCCTTTGAATTCCAAGGAAACCCAAACCAACTTCTGATTCAGGATAGGGTGATGGATCGTCGAAATATTGTCCACTGATATGAGGTTCGTTCGTGTCACCGAATATTAATGCTTGAGTGCCACCTTGAGGAATTACCACATTGGCCACCTGACTGGGTTGGATATTAACCAACAAAGGTTGCCCCGTTGATCTATCGATGACGTGTGGTACTTGATGAACTATGGGCTCTGCTGGTGTTGGTTTGGATTCCGAAGTTTGAATGACAATTGGAGTTTCAGGAAGCAAAGGGTCTTTCTGGGCCCATGGTAGTCGCTTTTGTTCTTCGGATGGAACGGTTGGCCAAAGTTTATCTATCGATGGCTTTCCCAAATTGATTTTCTGAAATATTAATCATAATATAGAGTTGTAATTCGATTGTATTTAATTGATAGATCAAAATGTAGTATTTTAAAAAATTTGAATTTTTATAATTTTGAAATATAATAAATCAAAATTATATAAATTGAATTAAAATCAATTGAATCGAATTTGAATATGAAAATTAAAGCTTTTATAGTTTTGAGAATTTTAAGAATTCAATATAAAACATTTTGCAACTTAAAAATAGACAATAAAAAGATTCTAAATCTAATTATAAAATTCTTTTTTATTTGATATAGAATAAGATATGAAATGAACAATTATTCAAATAATTAAATTAAATTTTCATTTCATTTATTTATCGTATTATTATATTTTATATTATATTATATTATTACTTGCATAATAATAGAAAAATAAATTATCTTATTATTTATTATTTTTTATTATTATTCAAAATAATCATACATTTGTTAAATAATTCATTTTTCATATAAAACATTAAAATTTACTTGATTATACTTATTTTAAGTAAATTTATTTTTTATTTTAATTCTAAGTAATAATTTTTACTTAAAAGATCCAATCTTATTTTACACATAATATTGTTTTAATTCTAAAACTTAATGTAAACCACATCGTCATAATAAAACATAATACACGATAATAATATACATTAAAAGAAACAATATTATTACAATATTACAATATTAATAAATAAAAATTAAAAATTAAAAAAATGTGCATACCTGATCAAACTGAGGATGGGATGGAGGAAGCTTCAGAGGATCCTTAGCATTCCAAGGTCTCCTTGTCTTATCAAGACTCCATTCCGGTTCCTTTAGATTCGTATTCGGATTCGCATACTGTTCCACGTTAGGTCTATCGGGTGGCTTCAACAAAGGATCGTTCTCTAACATATCTTGTTTTGAACCAATCCTCTTTGGGGGAGTCGGTTGAACTGGGAGCAACTTTTGAGGTTGTTTCAATGTAGGATTCGTATCGATAGGCATAGAAATAGGTATCTTCAAGTGTTCTTCGTAAATCTGATGTGCAGGATAAATTTTTATCTGTGGACCTTTGTGACTCTGAAGGGTTTGCTGAGGCTGATTATCCCGATTGTTCTCCAGGACTTCGAGAACAGGATGGACTGAAATGTTGGGAACTGGTAACGGTGGTGGTTTCATTCCTATGTTCTCTTCGTCCTCTAAGAATGTTTGAGGCGGTCTTGGTGCCATTTTTCCTGGTTTACCGATGATTACGTCGCTATTCGCGGTAATTACTTCGCCTGGAGAAATTGGAATTCCATCTGCCAGACTAGATGCAACTTTATGACGTGTCTCTGCGATGTAATTGTGGTTGAGATTTGCCAGATGTGTACCTTGGAGAATTTTTATTATTATTTTATTATTATATTGTTCAATAACTGTTGAATGAAATTGATTGATATCTTTCAATGAAATAATTATTATTTTATTTATTTATTTTTGTTTGAAAAATGTTTCTAGATAGTATTTTTTTTTTAGATTATTTTTATATTATTTTAAAGAATTTTTATTATTACATCCAAGAAATATTTTCATATTAATTTTTTTTTTTAATTAAATGGAACAATTATCAATTTGAATTATTAAAAAAAAAGAATATATATTATGAAAAATAAATTATTTAAAAACAAATAATAAACTTTTAATTATAATCACTAATCACTAACTTATTTATCAATTTCATATTATAAATGAATTGTGTTTAATAATTGGAATCATCGATTACATCTTTTCTGTTTTATAAAAAAAAATTACCTATATTTTGACTTTCAGCAGCTTCAATGTCTCCATCAGCGAACTCAGCGACAGGTATGTAAATAGGTGATCTTTGCGTAGTGACTTCCTGCGTTTCCATCTGTGGTATCGAATCATTCCTTCGTGTTGCTGTGGTTTTACCCTGAAGTAGGCCAGCCATTGCAGTAATCACTGGTCCCAAAGCCGACAAACTATTGATTCCCAACGAGCCTAAGCTCAGAAGATTGCTCACTTGAAGATCACTCGTGTTTTGATTGACAGGCTTTTTGTTTTGCTCAGATTCTGCGGAAACTGTTACATTGCTTTCCTATAATTCAAATATAATCAAATTAAAATCTTATCGTAACAATTTTAATTATATACAAGAAAGACATCGATTATTCGAAATTTAATTATTCAAATTTGAATACATACATTTAAATTAACACATTTAACAATATTTGCATTATGAAATACGTCCTAGAACGAAAAATGATTAATTTACTTTTTGTATTAAATCTTATTAAGTATATTCCTTTAATATTCCTGTAATATTTGAAAATTGTTTATTTTTTAATTGTTTTAATTGATATGAAGTTTTTTAATTAAGTTTTTCGATTACCTGATTAATTTGTTCAGTAGGTTTCAGATTTGGTTCGTTAATAACCGGAGATGGTTCAGTAGATACGAAGCTAGACGAAATCGTTTCATCTTTCTGCACTTCTACCGAAGAGGTAGTTTCCGGGAAGTTGGTGCTAGTAGTAGGATCAATCTGGTCCTCCTCATCGAAAAAAATGATCGTCGAACCAGTGATCACGTTTTTCACAGGATCAGAATGATGTGCAGTTGTTAGTAAAGCGTTCATGTAACCAGCATCTAATAAACTGGGTGCTATCGATTCTGTTACCACGTTTTCTACAATGTGTGATCTCGAAGAGACTGTTGTGGAAGTCTCTCCATCTGGTCCCGCCTGAAAGCAAATAGAAATGTAATTCTCAAAATTTCTAATTTAAATTATCTATCATTTGACATTTTTTGGGTATATGAATAAAGTATCTTGTGACATAATATTATTTTTTCATTCGAATATGAAATGTTTTATCAAAAGATTTGTTTAAACTCTATCTCTCTAATCAAATATAGAAACCAATTATCAAAAGTTTATATCTTAATATTTTTTTGTAATAGTTTTTTATGTTTTTAAATATCAAAATTGCTAAACATGAATCGATATAAAGATGCTGAAAGAATAACGACATAAATGAAATAATTTTGTAATATTTTCTTTAAAAAAAATAATTCTTAAATAAAATATTTAAAAAAATAAAACATTAATAATAATAAAATAATAAAACAATAAAACATACATAAAAAAATTAAAAGTGAAATATATATTATAATTATATAATTTTTTTTTGTTCTATTATTTTTAAATTATTGACATTTAATATTTTTTTTAAATATAGTCAAATATTACACGTTACAATGAATCCATTTATTGATGATCTATTGTTTTGATGGGAAAACGATATATAAAAAAATAATTATATGTTCTTTTCAATATTTTCAAAAATTTTTTATTTGAAATATTTTTAGATTAGATTAAACAAATAGTTTAATCTAAAGTGAATTCATGTAGATGTAAATTCAAAATTCAATGATTCATCTTATAATTTTTATAATATTTAAATTATTTAATTTATAATATAATATAATATTTATAATATTATAATATTTAAATAATTTAATTTAATTATGATATTTTTAATTCATGATCATTATCGTTAATTTAAAGAATTTACTCTAATCATTATATAGATTTTAGAAACTTGTTCATTTTTCTGAAATTTATTACTTGTAAAGAAAATATTAAAAATAGAGTAAATTCTGTATACTTATATATAATATATGAATACTTGAATATTCAATTGTAGACATAAAACTTAAAAGAATGAAACATTCAAGGAATAAATTTTTTTTTATTTTTTCATACTCTTTAACAATAAATAATATTCAATTACATTTTAAAAAATTGATAGATGAAATATATTATCATAAAGGATATGGCATCACAATATTTTTCCTATGAATGTAAAGAAAAACCTATTAATAAATCTCTCTACAAATGAATTCTTAATTTTTTATTTTTCAACAAAATCTATTTATTCCATAAAAATTTATGCGTAAAATCTAAATTTTGAAATAGAAATCACTATATTTTATGACTGTAATAAACATTAAACTCACGATCTCTAATATCTTAATTAACCGACTTACCTGAAGTAATGTCGTAAAGTAGGTAAACGTGGTTAGATACGTCTTCGTGGCAAAGATTTGAATAGGTTCCGGAGTAGAATTCACCATGGCTGTCTTTGTGGTTTTCTTGACAGGCACTTTCTCCAACACAACATCAGTCGACGTCGCCACGTTCGTGCGAACCACTGTGCTCCCTTTCTCCAGGAAGGTATTGTAATAAGTATAGGTAATGTAATAAGTCTTCATGACGTCTGTCATGTTTTCCTCTATACTATCTAACGCTGTTAACGTGGTCGTGACACTGGTTGGACGAGGAGGTGGTGCAGATTCTGTTACTATGAGCTGAAAATTAAATGTTACCAGTCAATCTATTCATCTATCAAAACATGATTGGTTTATCTTTAAAAACTATAGTAATAGTTTATTTTTAATAAAATTTTTTTTATATTAAATAAAAAATAGAAAATAAAAAAATATCGACATAAGAAAATTTTTTTATAGAAAAAAATAAAAGATGATGGAAATGAAAAAAACTTTAATTTGATAACATTATAAATGAAAGTAAAAAAATTTAATTGAAAAATATAAAATAAATTAAAATATAAAAAAAAATGTATAATATTTTTTCATAAAATTTTTTTTATATTAAATAAGATTTAATATAATTATAAGAAAGATGATAGAAATTTTTAATGTAAAAAAACTATAAAAGTTGATTATTTGTAATTATCTATCTTTTATCTGTCAATTATCTGTATTATGCTGATTTCATTTAATATCAATAATTCTTAACTCTATTAATATCAATAACTAATTAATATCAATTTTTAATTGATTATATTATGTTTTATGAATTAATATCATTTTTAATGAAATTACAAATATTTTAAATTTTAATTTAAAATATTTTCTAATTAAAAGTAAAGTCAATTGAAATATAATTACATCGAAAAAATAATTTAATTCTATTTTACAAATAATAAATATATTAAATCTCATACAATCATCGCATTAACACGAACCTGAGTAATAGTATCACTGGTAGTTTTTATTTTAGTACGTCCATCCTCCATGAAAGTCTTTTCCAGCATCCTGGTGCTGAGATATGTGTTTGTTTCCGGTCGTGGCGCTTCCGATGGCTCGAGAATCATGTCCAGATAATGTTGAGGAGCAGTAACTGTATTTGTAATTACTTTAGTACTGCTTTCCAAAGCATCGTTTATATCCGAATGATCAGTGTTTAGTGTTAGATAGGTGTAAGTGGTTTTGAACACTTCTGTGCGTAATGTTGGAGACGCTTCTAATGTTACCGCTGCAGTTTCTGATCCAGGCTTCCTGTGACGTTCTTCAGTTGCCGTGTTTGCTATTACCTGAAAAAATATATTATAAGAATTTAATAAATTTTATAAAATTTTACATGATTGTATGAGATTTAATATATTTATTATTTGTAAAATAGAATTATAAAATGTATTTAAATTATTAAATAAAAATATTTTAAAAATATTGTATTAATTAATATTGAAGAATATTGTATTAATTAATATTATATTAAATAATATTTAAGAAGATTAAACTAGGAGAGAACTTGAGAAAGAGACATGCCATATTTTTATAAGTTTAAACAAATTGAAAGAAATTTTATTTTTATTGATAATAACATATAAACATTGTAATATCTCCAAAGAAAAAAATGAAAAATATTTTGAGTTTAAAAACTA